ATTTTCTCTAACTGGTACACCTCCAGAAGTGAAATTCTTTCTTTATTGACTTCCCATTTAGAGTAAATGAACCCTTCTATTTGTCTCTATGACAGTCATAAAAAGATATTTAAAATGTTTTATAATTATAAAAGAAGTATGTGTTGAAAATTTTCAGACTGTACAGTAAATATAAAAAGTCATTTTCTTATTCTTTTTCTCTCCCCTCCCCACTAAGATCTACTCACAGACATTCTGCCATACAGATCTATCTCAGCTTTAGAAAGGAAGTTTTTAACATTATAAATATGTGCATGTATATGTATATTTAATAACATGTAACATTATAATTTATAATATAAAATTAAGCATATATACAGTTATCCTACATAAATATAATACGTACTATGTTTATTCTACATAAAAATATATATCAGAAATACATCCTCTCAGAATGAAGAACAGGCTTTTTCAGGAAAGGACATGTGGAACCTCACTTAGCCATTTGAGAACCACTGATTTGCAAGACCTTCCATCTCTAAAATGCTATGATTAGGTCTAGAATATCCTGAGTATTTACATGTCTTTCATTATTATCACTAACCTACATAATCCAAAATACAGTTAGGAATCTCTTTAACATCTTGAGTAGAAAATCATAGACTGAAATTATTTTTTCAGTCTTTTAATCTGCTTGTTGTATAAGCACATATCTGTGCTCTATCACTGATTATAATTGGTTCCCCACATCAGAGTTTTAGCCTGGGGTCAAAGACTTCAGGGTATTCATAATGCCATGAAAACATATGTGATATTTTGTGTGTATTATTTTTTCTGGGGAAAGTTTCCAACTTTCTACGATCCTAAAAGGTTAGAAACTATGCCTTAGGTATGTTTCTTACTTTTGCATTAAATAAGCTTATTCTTAGCTTAAGAGTCCTTTAAAATTTTTTCTTCATTTGCATTTGACAGCTGAATATTTGAGTTCTTTGTTCTCACCTTTAATAGTCTTCTCATTAAAACCAAAACATATTCTCCTCTACCAATTAATCATAAGGAATGTAAATTTTTTACGTAATTTTTATTTTTTGAAGTACTGAAAGACAGAAGAAGGCAGAGACTGATGCCTCACAATGAAAGTGACAGGCAGGGAGACAAGCAGCTAGAGACAGTGAGACACACAGGCACAGATAAAAGGCCTAAGGACAGAGAGAACAGACAGGCAAAAGAAATATAGCAAAACCTGGAAACACAGAAAGAGAGACCCAAGAACTGAGTAGACAGAGAAGAGGGATGGCAGAAAAATAGGCTGGCAGGGAGAGAATGGAGAATGACTGACAGAGAAGACAGGCAAAATCACCAAAAGGGATGCAGACAGGCAGAGAGAGAGCTAAAGAGAGAAGAAGGAAAGACAGATAAAGGAAGAAAAAAATAAGGTAAGAAGGAAGACAAAGTGATAATAGTGGTTTATACAACACAGTGCTTCATAATTTATAAAGTGCTATCACATACATTATTGCAGGCAGAGGGAGAATCCAGCAGACAGATGGGGTGATGGAAGGATACAGGCCAATCAGACAGAAGAAAGGGGAGAGGGCCAATCAGAAAGAGAGGCTAGAACAGAGACCAAGACAGACAGATAAGAAAAAAACAAGAAAAGAGAAGTAAGAGGGAAAGAGGCAAAGAGTGGAGAGACATAAAGATAGAGGATGAAACAGTTAAACTCAGGAAAACAGGCAGTAAAAAAGCAGAAATGAAAGAACAGTGTATTGTGCGTAGAAGTTTTATGATCATCTTTCTCAAAGAGACCTGGTTAGAGGCTGTGTCTTTGTCTCCCTCAAAGAGTTATAAAATGTCTCTAAGGTAGCATGTGAGTGGAGCCAGAAGGTGGGATGAAAAAGGAAAAAAGTTTTAATCAGGAGCAAAGCTTTTTAGACTAGGAGGAAGACAAACTTCTAAGGCCTAGCTCAACAACATAAAAGGATCTAGATTCAGCTGCCCTTAAATGATTCACATAGACTAAGTGAGAAAAGCAGGGAAGTCGTCTGTAGACTCTGTGTGCATGTAAGCTGAGTTTACTGTTACTTATTAACTGTACCTATATTTATATGGTACTTTTTAGTACAACCAGTGCTTTCATGCCTTCTCCAATACATATTTCAGTGATGAAGAGACCAACAAAGATGTCTTGCTGTCATCAAGACAACTTACCACACAGAGTAGTCTACATTTGGAGAGAGTAAAGCCTTCCTGAGCACTCCTCAGGTACTGGTAGTAAAAGCATGCAACCAGCAACTAATCAATCAAAAAGACAAGTGCCTTGGGTAGCACTTGGCAGAATCAAAATGACAAAAAAGGCAAGCCCAGCCAAGTTAGTTAGGAGTACTGACAGACTTACAGAGGAAGGAGCATCTGGAAAAACTGGAAGAAAAGTAGGGAGAAGTACAGCAAAACACAAGCAAAAGCAAGCAAGCAAAGAGACGTGTCTATGTGTAGACTCTTCTCTGGAGCAGGATCCAGGCAATGTGAAACAGTGGCTGCTTCTGGGGAGAGGAACTTGGGGACTAGGGGAGAAGAATGGGAGAGAGGCTTACTTTTCACAGTCCACTTTCTATACTTTTAAATGTTGTACCATAAGTAGGTACTACCTGTTTAAAAGTTAACTGGGAAAAAGAAACAAAAGAAAAGAAAAAAGCAAGAAGAGATGTGGACAGCAAGAGCCTGCTGAGCAGACAGACAGCAAAAAGGCAGGAAGGCAGCAAGAGACTGGGAAAATGGCAAAAAGACTGAGGCAGGCAGACTGTCTGAGGAACCAGAAACATAGAAAAAGAGATCACTGAAATAAAGGCAAACATGAGAGAAGGCAGGGCAGGGGATGTGGCAAGAAGGCAGATAAGACTTTGAGGCAAAGGGGTTCCTGAGAAGTTTAGGGGAGAGAGACTATCTCCATTGATGGGATGTTGGCAGAGAAGAAGCAAAGGAAGAAAAAGCGGTAAGTACGAAGACTAAAAAGAGAAAAGCATTAAACGGTGGGATAGCAGCATACAGGGTAGACAGGCAAGACAGACCCCAAGGGAGGGAAGGGAAAACGAATAACAGGCAATAAATAAGAAAAGGAACAAGCAGAAGGGCAGGATAAGAGGCAAACCAAGATGGGGTGCCGTGGCAGGGCCTGGAAGGTAGACAAACCAAGAGATGCAAGCTAAAAAAGTGATAGAGACAGGCAGGCGGGGAGACAGATGGCTAGAGAGAGAGTGGTGGGCAAACAGCCAGAGAAGCAGACAGACAACCAGAGAGGAAAAAGAGGCTGCCAGCCAGTCAGGGAGGAGCAGACAGGCAGGCAGGCAGGCAGACACCATAACAGGAGCAAGCAGGTAAAGAGGGAGGCAAAAACAAGGAGAGAAGAAGAAAAATCAAGAGGTCAGGGGAGAGAGAGAGAGAAAATGAACAGGAAAGAGATGCAGACAGGCAGAAAGCGGGATGGACAAGGAGAGGGAGAATAAGGCAAATTAGCAAATCCACATGCAAAGCACACTCAAGAGAGAGAATGACAAATGTTTGTACAGGGATGCACATGGCCACCTTTAGCCACCTGCACCTGCAGATCATAGAACATGTGGCAGGCAGAGGCTCTCAGTACAGGGAGAGAGCACAGAGGCAGAGAGGCTGCAGCGCACATGATTTGCGCTGCATGGCCCACATACACGTGGAAACACTCTTCCCAGACACAGTACGATCCACAGACACACACAGAAGGGGCCAGAAAGAGGGGGAGTCAGGCACACAGGAGGAAGAGCCACACGCAGTCAGAGACTGGAAGACAGAAGTAAGCAGAAAGAAGACAGAGATGGAAAGTCACTTAAGAGGTGACAGAGCCTGCGGGTCCAAGGGATGAGAATGATAGTCTCAGTTAAAAACAAAGATATCAACAGAGAGAAGCCCACACATAGAAAGAGGGGGATACCCAGATGAACTCGTAAAGAGACTGAGAAAGAAGACAGGAGAGCAAGATCGACTGGAAGACTGGAAGAGGAGGAGGAGTTAGACTTAGTACAGAATGATGTGGGAACAGAAGCAAGAGAATTCCAAAGGCCAGGTTAAAAAAAAAAAAAAAAAAAAAAGGATGGAAACCAACACCCAGTACAGTGCATTAGTGTGGGGAGTGGAGCACTAATAAGGAACATTTTAGCTTCATAAACAAAAATGGGCATCATATTCCCAGTAATACTTTCTGGTTGCTGCCCACCTACCCCTCCCTCTCAGGTGCTGCTGAGCACAGCCGAAGATGGGTGGCCAGCAGTTACACTGGAGAGGTAGAGGAATAACCCAGAAATGATTCCGCAGGCATGGAATAGGAAGCAAGGGAAGGGGCAAAGGGAGATCAAAGGAATGGGAGGAAGCTAGAGTAAGAAAGGGTCAACAAGAATGAAAGAGGGTAGCACTGAGCTATTTGCCCTTCTTTTGCTCCATTTGGCAAGGATCATTTTCTGTCTAGACCTCTCTGAGCAAATCTCTGTATGAGAAAGCTACTTCTGGACTCCTTTCCAACTGTCCAATTCCTAGTACTACTTTACCATAAACACTGGGGTACAGTTGGAAATCACAGGTCAGAAAGTTAGATGAAAACGCCTGAGTGTAGCCCCTACCTCTGCTTTTTCTCAGTCCCGGTTCCTTTCTTTTTCACGGTACCTCGGTTGCTTCTACTTTATCGGATAATGTTGGAGATCATGGAGGAAGGCGAATATACTGAAATGAAAGAAAAGAGCACATAATTTCACCATCTTCAGATTTGACTCTTTCCTCTTTATCCTAAAAATTTGTCCTATTTACCCCCAAATTAATCTCTCAAGTCAGTTGAATTTTACATTCTAGCAATTGGAGGAGGGGAAAGCAAGGGAAAGGGGGAAAAGAGTAAAGATAAAATTTACAACAATTATAAATCACTGAAAAGGCTGGGTAAAGGGGAGAATCAAACATGGACTCCTTTGAAAAAAACTCAATCATCGTATCTATTCATCTCTCTCCCCCAAAAGTCACTAGGATTTCTATCACTTTTTTTAAAGAAAGGAGAAAAAAATCCAGTCCCGCTTCTCATTTAAAAGATCTGTACACAATTAAATGCGTTGTGACTTCAATGAGGTATGTAGAAACAGAGTTATATATAAACATATATTTCATCTTTTTCCTTTTCAATGCCTGAAGGGGAAAAAAAACCTTCACATCAAACCACTCCCTTCTGAAGTATTCAAAAAAAAAAAAAAAGCTTTTCTTTAGAGAAGGGAGGTGGGGAGGAAGAGACTAGTAAAGAAAAGAAAAAAAATTAAATCTAGTTGGACTAGTATCTAACTAGTTAACCTTTAACAATTTATGCTGATGTCAGACTGAGCATGAGTACTGATTAATGCCCCCCCTCAAATATTTTTTATAAGGGGGGAGTTAGTCACAGCAGCCATTTTTGTTTTATGCAGAAATCCTTCATGCCCCCCCAACACACACAGACACACAGACACACACACACACTTCAGTACACAAGGAAAATATCTCTATTAATCTGTGCACTAATCAGTTATGAAAAAGGAGAAATTTGTGGGTTTCTGGGTAGAGGCTTGGAGATGGGGGTGTAACAGGGAGGAGAATGGGGGGGTGAAAAATGAAATATTAAGCCAGCCATTTTGTTTGAAAAGGGGATTTTCCCCCCTCTCCTTTTCTTTATGGAGGGGGTGGCGGTGCTGGAGGGGGGGTTGTTTTAAAAATAATTTCAAGGCGGCCATCTTAGTGCCTCAGCTCTGAGAAATATTTCTGAGCGCCCCCCTCAGAATTTAAATATATTTAAAGCAACGGAGAGGGGGGCAGAGAGAAGTCGAAAACTTTTATATATATACACACATATATATGTATATATATATATATATATTTTAAATCCCCCTTTCTTGTTCTCTTGGGAGGAAAGAGAGAAGGAAAAAAAGTCTTTCCTCAATTTTTTTCCAAGACAATTTTTGGGGGTGGTTTGGCCCCCCTCCTCAGACGGCGGCCCCGAGGGTGGGGGTTTCGGAGGGGGGTGGCCCGGGGGTTTGGGGGGCTGGGGGAGGAGGTGAGGAGGAGGAGGACGCCGCCGCCGAGGAGGAGGAGGAGGAGGAGGAGGAGGAGGAGGTGGTGGTAGCGGAGGGGGAGGCGGGCGGGCGGTGGGTGGGGGGGTGGTGGGGGGGCCAGAGCCACAGGATGGCTTCCCCTCTGAGGGACGAGGAGGAGGAGGAGGAGGAGATGGTGGTGTCGGAGGAGGAAGAAGAGGAGGAAGAAGAGGGCGACGAGGAGGAGGAGGAGGTGGAGGCGGCCGACGAGGACGATGAGGAGGACGATGACGAGGGAGTACTCGGGCGCGGGCCGGGCCACGACCGGGGCCGCGACCGCCACAGCCCCCCCGGCTGCCACCTCTTCCCGCCGCCGCCGCCGCCGCCGCCACCGCTGCCCCCGCCGCCGCCGCCGCCCCCGCCGCCAGGTAAGCGGCCGCCCGACTACCCCCCAAGCCCAAGTGGGAGCCGCGGGCGCGCGAAGCCGGGCGGGGGCGAGACACCCACCGCGCGGCCGAGCCGAGGCGAATCCGGGGCGGGAATCCGGGGCTCGGGCCCGTGGCCCTGCGGCGGTACGGGCGGTCGGTGGCGGCCGCGACCGCGGGGCCAGGCCTCCTCCCCTCTCCCGCTGCACCCCTCCCCCGCCGCCACCACCACCGCCGCCACCGCCGCCGCCGCCGCCGCCGCCACCCCGGCTGGAGAGCGCCGGGCGCGAGCTGCGCGCGCGGACCGGGCCACTCGGTCGCGGCTTTCGGGGGAGGAGGAGGAGGAGGGTTTTTTTTTTACCCTCGGCGGGGAGGGGGTAGGCAGGAAACGGCCGAGGCGAAGCCAGGGCCCCCTCCCTGGCCGAGCGAGAGACCGCGGAGACCCTGGCGGCCGGAGGGCGGCGTGGGGGAGGGGTGCGTGGGGGAGGGGCGGCCGCGCGAGCGCCCCTCGGGCTCGGGCCCCGGTGGGGTTGGACCGAGGGAGAGCGGGGTTTCCCCGCACGGAGCAGCCGGCGGGCCTGCCCCCCTCCGCTCAGGACTTGGGCAGGCAGAGGGGGAAAGGTGTCCATTGGACCCCCCCTCCACCCGTGGGGACTTAGGTGCCCGCCAACTGAGGGGCGTTAGGTGGCACGAGAGGGAGGGGTCGTGTGAATGTTTGTGGGCTGCTGATGAGTAGGGGCAGGTGGTGGCCACAGTCCACGCAGACCACTTCCTGGAATAAGACTGGAGCTCGTCTCCTCGCTCCCCCAGCCTCTTCAGGGGACAGCAGTCCCTTAGGATTGGGGAGCGGAGAGGAGAGTGTCTGGGGAACCAGATGCCCCCAGCTCCACCCCCTTCATCTCTCCGGGGTTCTGGGCTCTTTTGTGTCAAGTGCGGTGGGGGGGGGGTCCCCCTCCTGACCCCGTCAGTCTGGGGTGGCCAAGCTGCCCAGCTGTGACTCTCGCGCGGCTGCCATTCACTGTCACTCTCTCTAGCTGAAACCACCCACTCCCTGAGCACGTTGGGGGGCGTGAACTGCCCACCCAGCTGTTCTGCAGCTTGACCATCACTCAGCACCCGTCCCCCGGGGTGACAAGTCACCCGGCGGAATTCTCTGGGAGGCGCTCTCCAGACCGCTGCGCCGCGTCAGGCGCCCAGCGGTGTCCCCCTCAGACCACCCTCCTAGTGGAGTGATTTCTAGTCTTTGGGATAGGTGAGCATCGGGGTGTCCACACCCCCTGCTTGGGGAACAGCAGGGGACGTCCGCACTCCCAGGCCTCTGGCTGCCATGCGGCACAAATGCAGCAAACTTCAAAACGGCCAACATCGGGCTCTTTGTAAAACTGTCATATTGATCCGTGTGGCTTCTGTGGCAAACGTTCCCGTCTAACTGAGACGACCTTTGGGGGAGAGGAGGGTGCTTTCTTGTGTGTCGGGGAGGGATGTGTCTCCTGGAAACAGGATAAAGTCTCCCCGCCCCCCCAAGCTTGTCTGAAAAAGAGAAAAGTTTTGAAAAAGTTCTCCCCGAGAGCCCCCCCGCCTTGGCAGGAGGGGAAGGAAAGGGGAGTTGTGGGGAGAGGGTGCCTTTGGGGTTGCCTCCGGCAGAGGCGCTGAAAAGAGGGAAAGAAAGGCCGCCAGGTCCTGCCAGGGGCTTGGCAGCGCTCACCTATTTGTATTGGGACTCGGAATCTGGGGTGGGTTGGGGTGGGTCCCGGATCTGGGTACGTGGGGGGAGAGAAGCGTGAAAGGATCGGAGGTTGAGATGGGTCTTTGTGTCAACCGGGCCTCCCCCTTCCCCCTTGGCTTTCTGAATAGACCAGAAGAAACGTCAAAGGCTGCTTACATTTTACATCAGAAATGAAAACCCACCTCCCCTTTCCCCCTGGGCAATTTTTATCTCCCTTTCAGCCCTCCAAGTCAAATGAGTGACCCAGATACACCCCCTCAGATGACTTTCGGAGGTAAAACTTCGGGAAAATATTTTTAGCCCACTCATTATTTCTGTCTGCCTAAGTGTGGGGAAAATAACCCTCCTCTAAGGAAATTTGTTCAGGCTGCCCTCGCTCTTGTCTAGAATATGCATTTGTGCACAGGAGAGGTTTCCATTGTTTTCCATTCCGACTGCTTTGATTCTCACCATTTTGTTTTACATTCTTACCCAAGACCAATTTTATCCCTTCCCCCTCTCTTCAGTCTCCTTACATTGTTAAGCGTTTAAAATAATAGCACTCGTGTTGGTGGGGGAAGGGAGCAGGAAGCCAAAAACTCATTTCTTCTCCCTCCCCCTTCTGGCAAGTCGAGAAAAATAATATAACATAATATATAGATGTGATTCCTTGGAGGTGGGGGTGGGGAATGATTGTGGGTGGTGCGGAAAATTCTGGTAGTTTCTTTGCAAAAGGTCTGAAAATACAAACCCACCCCCTGCCTGCAGTACGCATGTGCAGCAGACCTATTATGGTGGTTCGTTGTGGGGGAGGGAGGGGAATTTGAGAAAAAATAAATATATGTGTGAGAGATTGATGGTGAGATTAGAAGAAGAGAGGGGCGGGCGGGAGGCGAGGCTTCGGCCGAGACTCCTCCCGCCGCTTTCTCGGGCGGCCAGGCTCCGCCCTGAGCCCGCCGGCCCTCCCCACCCCCCCGCCCCTCCGAGATCAGAGCCCGGGATGTGGGAGAGTCTGGGCTCCAGGCCAGCATTGAGTGCCTGTTGAGACCGAGGTTGGGACTTAGATTTGCTTTATTACCCTTCCTTGCCTTTCCTCGCCATTCTTGCTTTGCCTCTCCCGCCATCGACGGCTGCCCAAGTTCGGGAACCTCCTGCTGGGGTGGGGAGTACAGTGAACCGGCTTGTGCACCAACCTTGGCTGGTGGTGGAGGCCCGGTCCCTGATTGTTAGCCAGTTGGCCTGCCCTTGCCACTGCTCCGGCAGCCTCCGCTTCCATGTTCAAGTCAACCGAAGTCCTAGGGGTCAGGGTAAGCCGGCTGCTGGGGCATGGCGCCTTCCTTACTGACTTCCTATTACAGTCCCCATTCCGTTTCACACCCGGGCTCTCGACAGCCACCCTCCCTGCACACACGCACGCAGTCCTATAGTGTCTTCCTGCACAAGGGGACACAGGATGCTGGAGTTAGCAGGAAAGGTAGCACTGAAGGAAGGAGAGGCTGCGACTCTGAGCTACTGGAAAACGAGGCCTCTGGTGTTAATTGTGGCTAATTTTCCGTTGGCTGTTGAGGGAGGGAGAAAGGATTGTGTGTCCTAGAGCTAGGGGCTGGGCCAAGCCTAGGCTTTCCCGTCCTGCAGCGGCTGCCTCTGCCTGTGTAGACAGGTCTGGCTGGTTAGTCTAGTGCTTGGTAGAGGAGGGAGGCGAACCAGAGCCCCAGGGCCTCAAGTCTGTGGGGCGTCCTGTCTTCCTCCCTATGGAGTAACGCTCCATTCCCCAAGCCTTCACAGAGTGACACTTTTACAGATAATGGGGCGGGGAGATATCAGGGAAAAGCCTGCCTGGGACCCTCTGACAGAGACATCTGGGGAGAAAGCCAGGAACCTAGCCCTGCTGAAGCAGGTACAGGCCATCCTCTGGATCTGTAGGCCAGAGAGAGAGAGAGAGAGAGAGAGAGAGAGAGGGAAGAGAGAGAGAGAAAGAGAAAGAGTGCGCGCGCGCTTTTGAGAAGGCATATGCTGGGTGTGTCTGTCTGTTCCTATATCTTTGTTTGGGTCTTCTATACTGCGTATAGATGAGTGGGTCAGGATATCTGAAACAAAATATTGAGGTGAAGGGTGAGATCAGGAAACAAAGGGTATAACCCCCAAGTTCTCAAAGGGAGCAAGGAGATGGGAATAGAATTGAAGGTAGATTTCAGGTTACTTGGGAGAAGGAATGTTTAGGTAATTGTGGACTTTCTCCTGCCGAATTAGAGTGTGATGATGGAGGCAGACACTGTGATCCTGTGGGCAAGAAGGAAAAATTACCAGCTGAGGGTTTCTTTTCCTCCAGGACTCTGTAGGGGTGACAGGATGCCTGGTCATTATCCAAGGAAATGTAAATAGAGGCCTCCCTCTTGGCAAAAGATGTCAGGGCCCCAGGGTGTTAGTGTGAGAACCCAGGTGTCCACCTTTGGCTCTCCCTCCCTAGCATCTGGCTTAGGGAGCTGCCAGCTTGTGTCTCCCCACTCCAAGTGCTGGGGTCAGGCCAGGCCAGCAGCTGGGCATGGCTTCCCCAGTTCCTGGGCAGGATGCCAGCTGGCGAAGTGAGGGGGAAGGCAGGAGGAGCCCTGGCGGTGACTGAAAGGACCTGCCACAGTCACAGCCCATGGCCTGGAGCCTGGTCCCTTGTTAGTAGGAAGGGAGGGAGGGGAGTGGTTTGGCTGCTCTTCTCTTCTGAACCCTGACCTCCCATTCAGAACCAGAGCATCCCAGAGTACTCGAAACACTTTCTGTTTGCATCCAGTGAAGGGAGGCAGGGCTTGGAGGAGTTAATGCTGAGTTCCTAGAGAGTGGGAACTGCGGAGATGGGGAAGGGGCAAGCAGAGGGGCCTCAGAGACTGGAAACCTAGAGGCTTAGGTATTCTTGTGCCTTTTGCTTCAAAGATAAAGATGACATTCGGCTGCTGCCTTCAGCACTGGGTGTGAAGAAGAGAAAACGAGGACCCAAAAAGCAGAAGGAGAACAAGCCAGGAAAACCCCGAAAACGCAAGAAGCGTGTAAGTGTCAAGAATTCCTAACTCTGTGGCAAGGCTCAAGAGGCGCGTTCTCGGCTGGGCGCGGTGGCTCACGCCTGTAATCCCAGCACTTTGGGAAGCCAAGGAGGGGGTGGATCACCTGAGGTCAGGAGTTCAAGACCATCCTGGCCAACATAGTGAAACCCCATCTTTACTAAGAATAGAAAATTAGCCAGGTGTGGTGGCACACGCCTGTAGTCCCAGATACCCGGGAGGCTGTGAGGCAGGAGAATTGCTTGAACCTGGGAAGCAGAGGTTGCAGGGAGCCAAGATCATGCCACTGTAGTCCAGCCTGGGTGACAGAGTGAGACTCTGTCTCAAAAAAAAAAAAAAAAAAAAGACCCATTCTTCTCAGAGACCTACATTTTCTCTGGTCCTGATGATTGGTGTTGGGGTGGGGTCCTGAAGCCAAGGAGGCTTGCCCGCCCATCCCCCAATTCCCTGCCACTGTTGGCCTGTATCTCAGGGATCTGGGACCCTAACTTCATTCGACGAGACCTAGCGAAGAGCCCCGTTGTCAATTTAACTTGCCTCAGCAGCAAAGAGAAGCAGTTGAAAGCACAAGCTCCAGAGGACTGGATGAATTCAAGAGCCCAGCATTCCTCTGCCTAGGATGCCAGTCCATTGATTTGGCTCTCTGTGCCTCAGTTTCCTCATCTGTAAAAAGTAGATACAAATTGCTGCCACATAGGATTGTTGTGAAGATTAAAAGAGATAAGATATAATATGTGCTGAGAACAGTTTCTGGCACAGAGTAGGAATGAATAAATGTTATTTTTATTTCTTTTTCTTAGGACAGTGAGGAGGAATTCGGTTCTGAGCGAGATGAGTACCGGGAGAAGTCAGAGAGTGGGGGCAGTGAATATGGAACCGGACCCGGTCGGAAACGAAGAAGGAAGCACCGAGAAAAAAAGGAGAAGAAGACAAAGCGGCGGAAAAAGGGGGAGGGAGATGGGGGGCAAAAGGTGAGTAGAATTAGGGAATGAGAGTGAGAAATCCGCATTGAAGATGCGCATGAAGTGGGGAGGAATGGAGACTGGACTGGAAAATGGAGGAAGAAGCCAGAAAGCCCAGGGAAGCTGGTGGGTAGGTAGACAGGTGTGTGTGTGCGTGGCCCAGAATAGGGGCTGGAGGAGCTCCTACTTCACCAAAACTCTTTTCCCACAGCAGGTGGAACAGAAGTCGTCTGCAACTCTGCTTCTGACCTGGGGCCTGGAGGACGTGGAACATGTGTTCTCTGAGGAGGATTACCACACACTCACCAACTACAAAGCCTT